AAGCTAATAATGATTTTATCTTATTTGTCCAATACTGGAGGGTGGGGACTGTTAATAATGTTAAACGAAATAATATTTAAAAAATATTTATAAAATGAATTATCATTATTTCATTGTAGAGTAGAGTTCAGGTTCCAACTTCCAACGTGATTTGTCTTAATCCAAATTCTTTATAAAATCTCGATGCCTTCTAATAAATATGTGAAGGGGAACACATGTTATGGGGGGGGGATTTCATTTATGAATACCAAACAAAAGAGAAATATATTTTTAAACATAAAAAAATGAATCATGTCCACGCATGCATTTCATGTAATCTAGATAATAATAATTGTATATGAAACTAGGTGCATTGTTGATATAAGTGCAGGCGGGATTGGATCCCAAGTATCTACTACAATCGGCAGGAGATCTTATAAATCAGCTGGTTGGCACTTTGTTACTAAACGAGTTCAAGTTTGGTGTATATGTTAAATTTAGATTTTGACCAATCACGATAATGTCTGATTAATTTTCATTAATTCATATTTTACAAAGTATTCTTTTATATTTAACAAGATGCATTGCAATGGTGCAGTAAATGTACAATAAATTTTGCCTAACTTATCCTTTAGCATCAAGAATTCTAAGAAAAAGTGATTATATTTCAAGTTGACAGAAGAAATGCTAATTAAGGGTGTGTTTGACAATATGATCAATTTTGTTTTTGAAAACAAAAATAATTCTTACATCAACAAAAACAATATAAATCTTTAAGTAATTTGAACAGGGTGATGTTTGGCATCTATATGATTTTTCCTTGCTGACTATCCAGAAATCACTTCAATGACTTTTTAAAAATCACAAAAAATTGTTATTTGGTATCATTTATGTCATGTAAGTAATTTATTTGGTATTGATTATCAAAAGTGATTATTTTTCATAAGAGTCATTCTTTTCTTGGAAACATGTCGAATGCCATGTCATCCTCCAAAAATCAGAATCACTACCGAAAATGGTAATCCCTCAAGATGGGCCGATTTCAGGAATTACTTTTTGTGCCGATTTCTCAAAAATCGTGAAAATCAACCAATCAAACAGATTGAAAATTTCCCATGTAAATACAACAACGTATTAATTATTGTTTTTGTTTTAAATTTTAATATTTAGTATTGTTTTAAATGTTAATATTTTGTTTTCCAAATAATTTTGATGCTCATCGAAAGCAGTTCCGCTTGGTTTCTCGTCTATTTCTTTTTATATATATATGTGAAAAACAGTAGTGTACTTACGTGCAAAGTAGGCCAAATGTTATTGCCACCGCGTAATTTCAACACTGTAAGTCCAACGCCAGTGGATTTTGACATTTTGTCTACTTGGTTTAAATGGAAATCTGGAGTGTCAACATAAGAAGCAGGTGTGGCGATATAATTCTCCATAATAAAATAAAATAAGATGTTATTTTCTGGCAATGTCGAAGATTCGAGTTGTTGGAAATCCCCGGGGCATGTTACTCTGTAGCTGATCGCCTGACCTGAACCATCCGCTATATCCTTTACTACTACCAGAAGAAGATGGGCATTTTCGACAAATTAATTCGCTGAACACGGCCGCACGTGGAAGCTGCCTTCCACACAAAACGACGAAAGATAAAAAACGGTCAATAGATCCGCCAGGTTGGCACCTCCACCAGCCACAACTGTGGTGGCCCCATGACAAAATTAACCTCATCTGGCTTCACTGATTACATTCAATAGATACCTGAGTCTGACTCTGACCAATGTGAGTTTTTCACTAGTTTTGGTTTGATCGATCATAGTGAACAAAACAAAAGCGCGAAGAAATTTTCAGAAACTGCTTAGGAATGTTCGTTCCCGCCAAAATCAGACGGTCCCATGTTCAGTTGCTCACCGTCAGGAACTATATTGTCATTTCTTTCTTTCTCATATTTTTTAAATATAATAACAATTTATTTAATATGGTAAAACATGCATTTTTTTTTTTGTTTTTCTTAGAATAAACCATGGTTTTTAAAATCGGATTAGACCAGATGGTCGGACCGGAAAACCGGGAACCTGTCACCTGACTAGTTCCGTTTTCTCCAAAACCGTTGATTTTGGTCAACAAATCGTTGAACCAGTTGGTTAATCATTTGAACGGTTTAGACCGTTTTTCAAATTTTTAATTTTTTTGTCAGAATGGGCTGGCCGTTTAGGTCGAATGGTCGGCCCATTCGAACCGATAACCAGACCCCTGATCTATTCGGTTTTAAAAACCATGAAATAAACTAGTGTAAGGGCACATCTATGTATATATAAAGACAAAATTTGACATTATACAATCAAATTTAACTTTTATAGCTGGACTAAAACTAATACAAATATCCATTTATAATAATATAAATAATTCAATTACATTTGATTTAGCTTCAGATTTGTGATTTTAAAATTCAAAAACAAAGCCTCAATTTTAGGTTTTATGCTTTAGGCTCGAAAGTGCTTTAATTGTGTGGTTTGCTTCCAGAATGGAATCATCTATTTTCGCACTTGTTTGATTCATACAAAAATTGGAATTGGATTTCATGAAATATGCATGATTCCCAAGGAGGGTTGGCGTATAGGGTTTGGAGGTTTTTAGATTACTTGTATTTTATCTAGATTGTTTGGGTTTTGCTTAATAATTACTAGCAAGTAAATTGATGTAATATATGGGTTTGAATTGAAGTTTGGTTAGGTTTAATTAAATTGACAAAATTGGGTTTTGACATGAATTGGCTTAGACCAAGGTCCATGTTTAGTGTTGGTTCTAACCCAACTTAATTATCAATTTATACCTCTGCTTTATTACAAGAGATATTAATAATCTTATTAGTGAGCATAATCATGGGTTTTATTAAAGAAAATTAAAATTTAAGAATATTTTTATCGTGACTGATTATATTTTGATAATTTAATTAAAAATGAGTGACGGCATGTGTTAAAAATTAGAGGAGGTCTCTGTTGATATGGCAATTCTCTACTTACATGCAATTCAATATTTACATGCCTGCCATGTGTAGCTGGTAGATGTCCTTTCACTATCAACTGAGGAATTATGAACCTTGTTTATAATCAAAAAAAAAAGAAGAAAGAAAATAAAAAATTTATGAACCATTGCTTGTATTGGCAATAGCGCTTGGTGGTGGTGGCTTGGCTACAACCAAACAATCGAGGTACAACTTGGGTTAGGTTGAGGGTTGAAAAATATAAACCCAATTTAATTTTGTATTGGTTTAGGGTTGAAACCTTTAACAATTTTATCGAACTTAAACTCAATATCATATGTGGGTAAGTTTATGGTGCTGTATGAATTTTGATGAATACAATTTGATTAGTTAACACTTTTATAATACCAGCTGATGAATTGGTTATAAGTTTATTGATATTATAGTCAAATATATATGCATACATATATACATATATATCATTGTTGTTTAAGTTTTATTCTAACTATTAGAGGTTGATTATATGAATTCTATTTTTTTCATTTTATTCTGTTTAATGCCATATCCATTATTAAATTGTGAGCATTTGAAATCAATTTTTCGCTACCATGATGCATGTCCTTTTTGGTCCTTCTAGTCTTTTCAACTCGTAATAATATTAAGTTTAATAAACACATGTTATGTAACAAAGTACTTTATCCCTTCATATATACTAACGTTAAAGTTGTCTTCCTAACCTCAAGTTCAAGTATAAGATGTAGAAACATTTTAATAAAAAGAAATGAAGAAGTCGGGCCAATCTAAGCCCGATCCAAACACAACCTGATTTCAATCCAACTTGAAACAATTGGGTTGGTTAAAATTGGGATTTCAACTTGAATTGGGTTAGGGTTGATATCAACCCGATCTAACTTTGGTCAAACTTTCAAGTGCAACCACACTAATTTAACAAGACATAAAAGTATAAGCAAAAAAAAAAAAAATAGCGAGTTGGGATCTCCGGCCAACAAAACACCTTCCAACTCCTACCGACTTGATCTAACACTAGTGTTATCTCATCATGAGACAAAGATTCATCATAAGAGTGAGACCATCATGTATAAGATGTGCGGAATCAAATGACATTGGTAGGCTGTTGGAATGTATTTTATTGACAGGTGATCTGGATTGAGAAAAAGCAGACTTCTTTACAAATTTATACATGCAAAGTCAGCATCAAATCCATAGAACCGCAGGCTCTCCATGGTATTACCAATGGGCCTCACCTTTTCTTACCCCACCCACGATTCCCTTGTATAGTATATAATCCAGTGCTTATTTACAAGTTATACATGCAAAGGACTGCATGTAATAACCTACAAGACTACAAGTCACTTAGCACTATTTTAAGTATGAAACGCAGTCCATAGAATCACAGACTCTCCATGGTATGGCCAGTGGACCTCACCTTGCTCTGCCCCAGCCCTCCCTTGTATTGTAGCATCGGTATGTAATACCGCCCCCAAGAGCGAGAGAGAGACGATTAGCTGTTGCTTGGGAGATATAGTGGTTGGCTGGATTCTCATAATCTCATTCATCAAAAGAATCAAGTCTGTCATCTCGCTGGAACTGATGCCTACATCCTTATCAAGCATTATTAATCAAATTAATATCAGTATTTATTTGGGTGTAACTTGTATTGGAATATAATAAATACCTATTCCCCACCTTTAATCGTTACTTTCCATTTGGCACCAATCTAGTGGTTAAAAATTAAAAGGCGCCTTCTCAGCTGGAGGATTCCTTTTACTATAAAACAGGCTTTTAAGTAATAAGGTTAACTTTGTCATTGTCGAAAAGTTGTATTGCGATTTTGAGTAGAGATTTCCATTTATCTGGTACAGGTATCAACTTCAAGCAGGTTTGTTCCCCAGAAAAATAAAATATATTTTCTCTATGACTAAATAAAAACTGAACTCATCAAGTGTGCCTTTTCCATCTCTTGGATGTATGTCTAAGATGGGTCCCATCTAATTCTGCTATAAAAACGTCCCCTCCCTCCCCCTAGCCGAGGCATCCCCGTCCCATGCATCGAAGTGACAATTAATTCTCGTTGAGTAAAATATTATATAATCCCTCTAACTACCACTACTGTAGTGCTGTGCCGGTTCACTGCTGCATCGGCTTGGTCACAGTCGCACACTCTTTCCTCCGTTTATTTCCCCTTTTTCTAATGGATACACACGACAGCAAACGCAAATTTTCAGTGCCGGAGACAGAAGAAATGAGAAACAAGGTGACGCTGAAAGAGCTTTACGATGGCTTGGCGTGGGAAGATACAGAAACCGTGGCTAGGCTTCTGGCTACCGATCTCGAGTGGTGGTTTCATGGGCCTCCTCGTTGCCAGCACATGATGCGGTTGCTAACTGGGCAGTCTACCCGCGCGGAATTCAAGTTTGAACCACGGAGCATCACGGCCATTGATGACCGGGTAATTGTGGAGGGATGGGAAGGAACTCAGGCTTACTGGGTCCACGTTTGGACTCTGAAAGACGGGCTGATCACTCAATTCCGGGAGTACTTCAATACATGGCTCACTGTGAAAGATTTGAGGCCTCCGGTGTGGGAGATTGGTCAAGATAGGCCGACATTATGGCAGAGTGAACCTGAAAAGCATCTGCACCGCTCGTTGCCGGGTCTCGTACTCGCTATCTGAGCTGAGCTGAGCTCGTGGCTGCAATCACTTTATGAACTACGAGTTCCGCTTCCGCAGGAGATCTATTCGAGTCAAGATGTGAGAAAGAAAAAACAAAACCAAAAAAAATAAATGCTCTTTTTGTACGTGCTTCTGTTTACTAGGAAACATGTGTAATATAAAGCAAATAATGCACGGCTGTTTCATCCAGAATATGGAAATCTTGGTCGAGTTGAAGTGTACTTTTATGAAATCAATAAGATTAATATCAGTAGATCCAAGCCGTAAAAGCATGTAATTTAATCCTGGGTACTTGTGGTCTTGGCTCTACCATGATACAATCAACCGGTATCATATAAGTGATAATGAATCGTCATCAATCATTCATGCCTTATGGGGTGAATTCTGTTTGCCAATCAGTTCTTTATACCCACTATTAAATTAGTTATTACTATAATTTATCGTGAGCTATTCTAACTCCTTTAATATGTAATAAACCACTTATTCTAACTAACGAAGTTAGTATCATGTCTTTACAATAGCATAATCCGGTTCAATGATCATCTATGGCACCATGGGCTTCAACTGAATAGGCTTACAATAGGCCCACCAACATTAAAGCCCACAGTTTCTGATGAGAGATCCACACTTACTTAGGCTCAGTTTAGAAAGAGTACAAACACAAATATATACCAAATATAAGATTTTGCATTATATGCATTTGTAATTATATTCCTTGTAAACTGAGCCTTAGTTCCTTGGAGCAACTCATCTATTCCAGCTGCAAAATTGGGCCCAATCAGTTTCAAATTTCAATTGGAATGCTTTGTCCCAGCTCGCAAGTGTGATTTTGTGGTCCAAATTTCGCACCTAATTAAGAAGGATATGCCCCATGAAGCCCAAAAAAGAAGGATATGCTACATCGACTCCTCCAACTTATGTGGTCCGTCTTGACCGCATGATGTGGACTTGTTAAATGGAATAACGCATACACGCACCCAACATTAAAAAATATACGTCCATGATTCATCAGATCCTTGGCTGCCGAGTAAGCATAGGTCCCATGAGCCCATGGGAGCCCAGATTTCCAACTAACTTTTCCTACCCACTCTCTACCCGCCATGAATTGCAACCACACATCTCTCAATTCATAATAAAGATGTATGGCTCCAATTCATAGTGGGTAGGAAAAGTGAGTAGGAAGACCCCAGTGCCCTAAGTCATTCAATCCAAAGTATTATTCACTTAACAATTTCCCTAGCAATGCTCTATGTTTATCTATGTTTTCCTCGTCGGAGACTCGGTTAGTTAGACTGTTAGAGCCCAAGTCTTCCTGATTTCTCCCTTGTTGTAAATCTCGATAGCAACATTAATCAACTTGGGAGTATAATTACCATACTTGATTCTATCACACAAACAACTTATATTCTAGCACCACTACATCATTTTCTCAAATTTAGATTTATGGGATGCTGATAAGTTGATCTGCCGATGCTTGGCATAAACTCGATGAGAAGGATTCCTCTGAATAAGTTCTCCAGCAGCATCATGAATTCATGATCACACCCTTAGAGAGATAAAATTCCAATGCCTTCGAGATTCCAAATAAACCCTTGTAAAGCCAAATATCGCAAGGCCGACATGCACAAAAGTAAAATTTGGTGGGATGGAATGATGTCTTTATAAGACCCTTCACTTTTATATACAGTCCAATAGGATTGGTCTTCTTATCATGTTGTGACAGATGCTACAGTTGGAACAAAGACGTCTTACCATATCCGCGTCTCATTATGAGTGCAACTGGGCCCAATTTGGTTGGATTTGATTAAAATCTCAATCCACTCTAAGGTTCTCAATCCAATCACGGGTTCTTATATGTATTTTTTTTTTTTTGGAAAATTTTTATGTTAATGACATCACAGGATTGATCCGTTGATCCAAGGTTCCCATTGGGTCATCGGGGAGGTTAGATATTCAATGGGGATAGGGAAAATTGTCATCCCTATTCATCAATAAGAGAGAGATTAAGGTTCAAAATTTTGATACGTATTATATCGGGGGTTTTCTGATACGCTCTTATAGGGAGTGTTTCAGGGTTTAACCCAATTCAAGGGATAGACAGGTCTCAAACTGATCCCTTTGAACCAGATTTAAAAATAAATAAATAAAAGGATAAACACTGATACAGTGCAAAATGCTCCTATCGGCGTATCAGACTGTAACGATATTTTGAATCTTGAGTGAAATATAGATGAATTGAAAAGCGAATCCAAATTGACTTGGAGTATGCTCACTTTTACAACATTTGCTTTTGCTTTATTTTCTTTAACTTCTTTGTTGGTATAGATGTGCGAGTATATAATAGAGTATTCAACAAACTTTTATGCTTTATAAACCCAATTCATACAAGATCAAGATCACAAGAATATGCTCTAATTACTGCCTCAAAAGAAATGCTTTGATTACATTTATGCTTCATGTAGGAGAAAATCCCTTTATCTTAAATCCTTATCTGGCAGTTCGCATCTTGGAAATATGGAATTATTCCAATGCTCTTTTGATAACTGACTCTTTGTTTATTTATATGTTTACTTTTTAGGGGAATTATATTTTATTTGTTTTTTTTTCATAAAATAAATAAAAATGTGAATTAAAATATTTTAGTTATTATTTCTTCATCTTTTAAAAATATTGTTTACTCTTTTAACTTTATTTTAGCATAAAAATAATAAATAGAATAAAGTTTTTGAATGTAAAACTGTAAAAGTTCCTTTTCACGGTAGATAACAAATCCTCGTTTCAAAAAATCCATTTTTTTTTTCTGAAACGTCTAGAATTTTCTTGATGACATTGTTTTAGTATCCACCGTAACAACGAAGATTTCCTCCTTTTTTAAAAGGAGACAATGAATTCGTGTAAAAGGAATTCATGCTGCCGGAGAGACATATCAGAAGAGTTTTGATCAAGCAAAACAACTTTTGATAAATTCCACCTGATTGGTTATAATACGGTTGTTTATAAAATTTTCAGACATTATAGTTGATTGGTCAATAATTGTAAAATTCTTAAAAGTGGTTAAAAACTAGAAATTTAGAAAAGACATGGTTCCTCATGTGCCGTTTGGAGGGATGGGATTTACTTCTCATAGAATGCTCCTCAAACCTTGGGGGGTCAATGGGCTGGTTTTGGGTCGGATCTATCCAAATCAAAATCAATTTAGACGGATTGGACAGATCAATTAGACATATTTAATTAGACCAGTCTAGACTCAATGGTCTAGAGTATTTATTGGATTGGACTAGACCTGGTCCATTTGTCATGAATTTACATTAGATTGGGCCGGATTGAATCATTGAACCAATATCCAATCCATTGATAAAAGACTAGAGAATGACCACGTAAAGATTATTTGTATTTTTTGATAACTTTTACATTACAGGGCTAGTATATTTTGATAACTTTTATTTTGTTTAAACAAAAAATGTTCAACTTTTTATTATTATTTCTTTATTTTGTAAAGATTATTTGTATTGAAATATTTAGTTAATCAACTTTTAAGAAAATGCCACATTGCCACGTGTCTACCTTTCTAGAAAAATGAGAAGGCCACATGTATGAATGGTGGGGGGCTATAGTTTGGTAGTGGGTTATGGGCTTTACTAGGAATTTCTGAGAAATTGTCACGTGTCTAGAATTACAAAAAATGAGAAGGCCACTTATTTGAATGGCGATAGTGGGTTATGGGGTTTAACAACAATTTCTCAGAAAATGCCACGTGTTTATATTTCCTGAAAAATGAGAAGGCCATGTGTCTAAATGGTGGTGGCTGAAAACTTCCTTTAATATATATACTAGTGAATGACCCCATACTAAGTAAGGGGAATCAGAAATGTTAAATTAATATTGTTAAATTTATATTTATTAGTATTATAAATAAATATTAAAATTTYAAAAAATAACTTTTCAATAATTATTAGAATATTGATAATTTTCTTTTGTTATGATACGTAGAGGGTTAATGATTAAGTGAGACTCATAGAATGTAGGTAGGTTGTGGGTAATCATTTTGCATTTTTTTCATTTTTTTTAGGAATAGATTGAAAATGGTGGTAGTGGGTTGTAGGCTTTAGCAACAACTTATCAGAAAATGCCACATGTTTAACTTTCCAAAAAAATGAGAAGGCCTTGTGTTTGAATGGTGGGGAGTTGTAGCCTGGTAGTGGGTTGTGTGTTTTAGTAGGAGTTTCTCAGAAATTGTCACGTGTTTAGCTTTCTAGAAAATGAGAAAGCCACTTGTTTGAATGGTAGTAGTGGGTTGTAGGCTTTAACAACTACTTCTCAGAAAATGCCATGTGTCTAAATTCAAAAAAGCCACGTGTTTGATTGATGGGGCTATAACCTGAAAGCCTTCCTTTAATATATATACTAGTGAATGACCCCGCACTAAGTACGTGGTATTAGTAATGTTAAATTTACATTATGGAATCAATATTGTTAAATTTATATTTATTAATATTTTAAATAATTATTAAAATTTCAAAAAATAACTTTCAATAATTATTAGAATATGGATAGTTTTCTAGGGATAATGGTTAACTGAGATTGATAGAATGTAGGGAGAAGTGTTTATGGATAACCACCCACAACCACTTCTGTAGTTTTTGCATCTTTTTAGGAATGGATTGAAAATGGTGGTAGTGGGTTGTGGGTTTTAGGATTTAGGGTTTAGGGTTTTAGCAATAACTTCTCAGAAAATGTCACGTTCCACGTGTCTAGCCTTCTAAAAAATGAAAATGCCACTTGTTTGAATGGTGGTAATGGCCTATGGGCTTTAACAACAACTTCCCAGAAGATATCATGTATCTAAATTTGAAAAAGCCACGTGTCTGAATGGTAGGAGGCAGTAGCTAAAAACCTTCCTTTAATATATGTGTATATATATAAGAATGTAGGTATTAATGGACTAGGTTTGGGTTGGAATCAATCTAAATTAAAACCAATTTTAATAGATTGGAGGGTTTAGAAATGGAATTGGACTAATCCAAAGTGATCTAGAATATTCAGCGCATTGGATTAGACTTAATCCTGGTCCTCTACTCTAGAGTGCATAAGGACTTTCAAAAAAAAGAATATTCATCTTATTGGATTAGACTTAATCCATATGCAATGAATTCATATTGGATCGGATTGGATTAGGCCAAATTAGATTTAATTGATACCCCTACTCACACTCATATTGCAGACTCACAGAGCGCTCCTCACATATGATTCGCTTTAGACTTTTAAAGGCTTACCATTCATTGAGAATATCTCCCAATGAATGGTAATGTACAAATACAACTGTGGTGAGGGATGGATAGGGTTCTTGTGGATAGTGTACATAACACTACGGCTGTATGTTCCCTTATTTTTATGTTACCACTTACCATGGAGATATTCTCAATGTAAAACTCCCCTTATTTTTATGTTACCACTTACCATTCACTGGGAGACCTCAATCTAAAACTATATGTCATGTGGATAGGAGATCTGAATTACACGCAATCTAGCGTTTCACTTCCATAAAAGTTTGTTAATTGGTAAAGGTCAAAATTGCCCCTCAGAGTATCAAAGATTATCATCATTGAATGTAGAGCAGCAGATACATCTCAGTGTTCAATAATCAATATTTCCATATCGTCAGAGAAACAAAATTTTGCTGGGGTATTAACTCGCGAATGCAGGTCACGGTGGTTCTTGTGGTTTGGACACTTGGACGTGGGTAGAATAGTGTTTTTTCCCCTTTATTTGCTTTGTTTCCGGTTACTTTGTAATTTGATTCGAGTCATTCGATCTAGAGAATTCCAGGTGTTGAGTTCTAGCTCTATGATTTTGTGAAATAGAATCAGTGCTGTGGACTGTGGAGGGGAACAGTGGTAGAAGCCGGCAGATTGCCTTCTTTTCCAATGATGGTACTGAACTACACCTCTCTCGTCTCTTTATCTCGTCTTATTACACGTGACGTGTATACACCTCACTATAACATGGACAAAAAAATCTAGCTGTCAAGATTCATTTCACCGTACACGTGCCAATAGCTTCTTTGATCTCGGAGAAATAGAAATCCCGAGTCACCGTGAATCATGTCAGATTGTCAGTCATGTGTTACCCAAACCCAAATTAAAGTTCAAAACCAAATAAGCCACTCGAGAAACTTCCGCAAGGACCATGGATTACTCTCATGGGATTTTCCCGCAAAGAAGAGTATTCCGATTTCTAATTTCTAATCCAATCGCTTTAGGCTTATTATCCACAGCGTCTGCAATCTTTTTCTTTGATTGCTTCTGAAGTCTCCGATGAATCTTTCAAGTTTCAAAAGTGGTGCCTGTGGAGCCCGTTGTTTGCATATGCATTCCACAGCGTCTCTTCAAATTTGTGCAATCTTTTTCTTTGGTTGCCTCTGAATTCTCCGACGAGTCTTTCAAATTTCAAAAGCGGTGCCTGTAGAGCCCGTTGTTTGCATATGCATTCACCGGGTGGATTGTAGATTGTGTCTCAAAAGTGTTTTAAAAATTCAGATTGCGTCAGTTCGATTCAGACATTGTGGATTCACTCGGTGGAGACTCTTTTTGAGAGCGATGTCTCATCTAGTCATGTTGATCATCACCAAATCAAAAAGGAAAAAAAAAGTGCGATTGTGCGAATACGATCCGAAAGCAGAAACAAAAATACAGAACTCGTAAGACAAATCCAACTTTTTATTCTATGATGACAAGAACAACATGTAACAGACCCAGACCCATGAGAAGGGAACCTATGTCGATTCCTCATGGCTTCTCCGAACATACAGTAAACGGTAAACCTGAATACAAGCTTATAAAGCAAGCACAGAAAGCCCACTCAAATAAGAACTGACCAGACTCCAAAAAGACACAAGACAAAAAAACAGTAGAAACTGAAGAGGATAGGACGTAGAAGGCTCTAATCCCTCACATCCTTCCGACACAAACACAATCACACAGCTGGTTTCACGGTACTTCAACCCATCAGAATTCAGAACAGAGGGCACCGCTTGAACCTCTTTATTTCTTCTTATGTTAATAGGGAAATTACGAGATAGTCCTCTTGGTTGTCTATATTGCCAGGACAAGGCCGGGAACAGACTTCCCCGTAGCCTTGGTAAATTGGCTCTGCCACAGATGAGGGCAGCGAATTGAGGATGACGACGATGGAGATGGACCCGACTTCCCGAAACGGGAGACTGTAAGGGACGTATCGAAGTACTCCCTCACTTGGGTAATTATCCCATCAGCGACCGTCCAGGCGTGAACCCAAGAGACAGAACGATTCTGATCGCAACCCTCGACGAGGACGGTTGACCCAAAAGCAGCGAAGGAGAGAGGCACAAATACGAAGGATTCGTCGGATGAGACCCCGGTCAGCAATCGCATCATATACTGGTGAGAAGGGGGGCCATGGAACCACCACTCGATGTCCGGTGCGAGTAGTCGCTGGATCGTCTCAACGTCTCGAACACCTAAGGCGTCATACAGGGCGCGTACCACCCTTATACTGGATTCTTCCTCCAGACTTGCCTGCGAGGTAGCCAGTTCTGGCAAAAATAAAGAAGAAAACACACAAGCTAACAAACAAATAAGAAAAAAGATAGACTGTGGAGAGAGAGAGAGAGAGGAGAGGAGAGGAGAGAGAAAGGTGGGGATTGGGGAGGGGAAAGTGGGGAGAGAGAGAGTCTCCGGTCGAGATCGCGAAAAGCGAAAGTGAAGGGTGTAAGGGATATGTTGAAGAGCTTCGGACACCTTATATAAAAGTTGGGATAATAAGGACAGACTAGAAAGCATTCGTATGGCCTAGGGAAACCGAGGACCCCACCACTTGTGAAGCCATCTTTATTTGACCCCACATTGTTGCACTAATGGACTCCGATCTCTTGCTCACAAAAATTCTGCCCACGCTTATTTACGATACATTACTCCGTGAATTGGGAACATCTCTCCTTATAATACTATTGAAAAAATAGATATTCTCCATGTATGACTGCGATAAAGATAAACAGCTCGTGCACTAATGGCCTAAATTATCATAAATTATCAACCATGTGACTATTCCACGAAAATGATGGCCTAAAATTTGTTTCCCTTTCCACCTTCCCATTTTTTTTCTTTCAACTTTGGCAGGCGCTTTCCCTTCTTTGTCAGAAGTTCAGAACCATGACAGCCACGTGTTAGCATCGCACAGAAGTTCAGGTACCGGAGGTAATGCCCGACGGGTCTGAGGGAGAGAGAGATTCCCTGACGATTTCGGCGAAAGCCGATCTCCCGGTTTCTGACATCGTCGGAGCCACACAAGAAACGAATAATAAGAACGGTGGTATTTGATTACAATCTTAGAGTCTACTTCGATGGTGATTTGTAGTTGATCGCTATATCTCAAGTCTAATCAACATGAGTCAAAAGTTTGTTGTTGATGTTAATATTACAAGTAAAGACTTCTTTAATTTCATTCCAATAAGCCAAAGCTCCACTAATAATAGTCTTAACATTATTAGATATGCAATTAAAACATTTAGGCCCCTTCGTTTTTTGGTAAGTAAATGTACTTATTCAGTAAGTAAATGTACTTATTCAGTTAAGTGTATTTATTCATGTTTTTTTATTTCTCAGGTAAATAAGGTAATGAGCATTTTAATAATAATAATCTATTATTAAAAGGGGCATTTTTATCCCATTCAAGTGTTATAAATTTTATTCCTAAGTGAAAAAGTTATTTACCAACTTAGGAGATGTGTATCACTTACCTTATCCCCACATTAATATGAAAAATGAATATGGGATTCTTGGTCAATGGGAACCAAAACCTCATTGACCAACTTTCCCCCCTTACAAAATCCAAAAAAAGAATGCCCCCCTTATTGTTTCTATTCTTCCAGATGAACCAAAAAACACAAGCAAATTTTTCTCTTATGAAATTATAATTAAAGGTAACATTTAGATTACTTAAACTCTACCACCATTGACTTAACGAAGAATCAAAGGTCACAAGAACTGGTAGGTCCCTAACCAACCTAATCCATATTGATACTTATGGATCAGCTTCGAACATGATCCAACCACACTCAAACTCGATCCCAAAGAATTAAAAAGTTTTTAAAATATTTACTTTTTTATTTATATATACAATAAATTTTAATGAGACTTAGATTTTAATCCAAATCTACATCCAATTCCATTCTCAAATGGATGTAGGTTTTAAAATCTAAATTAGAAATAGGGAAAATTCCCAATTAGTACCTTGTACTTTGTGCCTAGTGCCACTTTGGCCCCCAAAATTCCCATTTAGTACCTGAATTTTCAAAACGTATCAATCTAGTACTTATCATTAACCAGTTGCTAATCAATTGTTAAATTCCTTTAAAAAAGACACAAATGCCCTTCGAGTGTTATCTATTTTTTTATCAACCATCCAAACATTGACAAAAAATTAATGGTCCTAAATCCTTGCCTCTTTTATTCAAGAAAGTTGGGATCAGAATGTCCACTAAGACATGCCCCCGACTTTCTTGAATAGAAGAAGCAAGGATTTGGGATTGCCAATTTTTTTGTCAACGTTTGGATGGTTGATAAAGAAAATTAGATGACACTTGAAGGGCATTTGTGTCTTTTTCAAATGCCACTTAATGGTTGATTAACAGCTGGTTAACGATAGGTACTGAATTGACACATTTTGAAAGTTCGGGTATTGAATTGTCGCATTTTAAAATTTGGGAACCAAAGGGTACTAATCGAGAGTTTTCCCTTAGAAATAATTGGATTGGATGTTGGATCAAATTCCGAACTTACAACAATTCATTAACAACCCTACCCTACTAGGATAATGGACTAGTCATCGTACACCGATGTCTATTATCATCATTGGCTTGTATTATGAGTAAACCTCTAGACAGATGCAAGTATAAGGAATCTAATTCTAACAAATAATAGAAGGGAGAATGACTATTCAACACACCCTAAGAATTCTTAGCCCCATAGTATAGTTGGGGTAGGTGCCAGCTCGAAATTGATGCCAATATATAGGCGGGTATTAGTGTTTTAGGATGGGGGTATTCATCATTTTGAATTGTGTAAATTTACACTAGAATTCAGAATTCTGTAGTATGGTGCAATATACTTTTTCTATAAAAGGATACTGCATAGACTACATATAGGAAGAATATGAGCAAGGGTTGCAAATTCTATTTAATTAAAAATAAGATTGGCCTTCACATAGTTGGTGGCAAGGATATATCTGTTTGTGTGCGTTTTAATCAATCCTATTTTTAAGATTTTAGTGTTTAATTAGTTCTTTTTTCATAGTTAAAACCTTTTTTACCTAAATTTAATATTCCATCTACTTAACTTGCATTGTTCCTAGTTTATTTAATTATTTATAAAATAATAAATTTAAAACTAGAGGTGAACAATTCCCAGGTTCGTTTCTACCTAGATTTTTCTCAAATATTCCGTTTTTTTTCCTTGGCTTTCTCCATTTCTCTATTCCCTTTCTTTCTTCTCACCATTTTTAGCATTTTATAAGGCCATTTTGTTGTGCATATTACCAACACAACATATTTCATATTCAATTGACATGGTTTCCAATATGTGGTTATATTAAGAGGGTGTTATGTAACGTGGATGAGAAATTGGTGGGTGTGGACTGGTTCACACAACACTATGTGCCAAGGACCAATCCACACCATACTATAGTTTACACCTGTTTTGAACAATAGACAAAACTATGTGGATAGAAATCGTTCATACCCACAGGGGCGTTCTGTAGGTGTAATATGGATTTGTCTACACCACACCTATTGATTCTATACATCTCATGTACAACTTATGAGATAATTTACACAATTGATCATGTAGGGATGCAAAAGGATCACATCACATTCGAACTAAGGTATATCCAAATCCGATCCCGTAGTAGAATACAAGATCTGATATGATCCGATTGGATCTCACAAATGATTCAAATTCGAATCCGTTAAGGATGTCAGATATTTGATTCCTAATCAGATTTGATTCAAATTATGAAAAATAATAAATTATTAAAAGAAAAAAAAAGTTTTTATAAAGAAAAAAATATAAGTATTTTTTCAACTATTTCAGATCATATTCCTAACACATGTGGCTCATCCATGAAAAAATAATGTGGATGATAAATTGGGGTATGGTCTATCCTTGTCCATGCATTTTGTAGATGGGGACCGTCTACATAAAGCAGAACACCACATTCTATTGTAGACAGGACTATTTTGATCCTATCCATGATATTTTCACACTACCAAACACTCCCTAAATGAGAACTATACTTGTCATCTTCACTAAATAAGTATCCATGGGATAAGCAATTCACCAAACGCTCAATACAAGTAAGTAATTATTTTAAGAATGAGCAACTAGAAAAAACACATTTCAAAATATTAATAAGTGCTTAATTCCTAAACATGGCCTAAAAGTCTTGAAGCTAGGTGAAATCAAAAGTCTCGGATTTGCTCCCCACAAGAACACTACTCACACCTACTCATGAGACACCATAGCCACACATACAAGTATGTGAGATGTTCTCAATGTGCATTTGGTATTCTATGGGTAGGTGTATATTGTTATTGTGGGTAATAATTGAAGCGCTTTGGCTTCACTTTGCCTCAAGGCTTGGGTGACTTTGCATCAAATCCTTTAAAATCATATAGGTCGTAGGATATGGCTAAATATTTTTAAGCCATTATTCATAACTGTTTTGTGGGCTGTTTAACCAATAATAACACCTCACAAATAGCCATACATGTGAAGTGAGAAATTGAAGGAATTGGGATTTGCTCCTCATAGAGGCATTTCAAGCAGACTTTACAGCCCTATCCTAATATGCATGGTTTTTAAAACTGACATGGAGACTGAATTGGTCAGGGGTCCGGCTATCGGGTCGAACAGTTCGACTGTTTGAACCAAACGGTTGGCCCATTCTAACAAAAAAATAAAAAAATAAAAACTGGTCAAAACCGTTTGAATGATTAATCGCCCGGGTTAGCGGTTTACTGACCAAAATCAATGATTTTTATGAAAAATCCGATTTTGGGGAAAACCTGAACCAGTCACCTGACTAGTTCCCGGTTTTTCCAATTCGACCATCCGGTCCGATCCGGTTTTGAAAACCATGCTAATATGTATTGAAAACATCATCTTATGAATAACAACACAAAATACGAGAAATACTTCTGATGTACGGCTAAAAAATAGTGTTTATGATGTGCGGTTGAGAAACAATGTGAGATTGGTGTGAAAAGCAGATTCAGACTCAAATTGAAGTGGTTTGCACGACATATATACATCCATCGTCAAATGCAGCTAATCTGGACATAGCATGGATGGGAAATCCCCAAATGACAGTAATAACAGTTTTCATGGTTGCACTGGCGTATTTTTGCTTAAATAGCAAATGAAAACTTCATCTAATGCGGGACCACCTGACATAGATATATCGTAGCGTTTACGAGAAGTGAAATATGTAATTGATTCTAGTCTAACTAGGCGAGCGTTGTAGCACGTAAAGGGCCTATTCGGGAAATCACTCCCCCCATCCCCACTACGTTAGATCCCGCCCTGGCATGCCCCCATACCATAATGTCACGGTCTAACACAGGCTTAGCCTTGCCTATGCTTGGCGAGCTTATGTTAAGGGACACCATTGTCATTTTCGCCTATAAGATTTTTGGGGAAAGTGATGTTATCTTCATTTAGACCACCAAAAGCTTAACGTACTCTTTGAAGAGGGGTGGTCGACCTCCTTGGGTGCCTAACCTTGGCACTCGTAGACCAAC